GCCTCCTTTTTAGCAAGGAGACATTCCCGGATGCTTTTGGTGAGCCATGGAGGCTTGTGTGCTCTCCTGCTCCCTTTGATCCTCGTTGGGATTACCTTCCTTTGGGCTTGGAGGATCGTCTCCTTAAGGAGCAACCACTCTTCTTGGACACCTGGCTCCCCTCCCCTCCGGGACCTCAGCGCTTCTCCAACTATCCTCCTTAGCTCGCTGAAGGTTGCCCTCCTAAAATCTAGGGCCGCTGCCTTACTGCATGCCTTTGCCACCTTGCACTGGATGGTGAATTCCAGCAGGTGATGATCGCTGTCGCCCAGGTGGTCGAGCACCCGCAGCCCCCTCACCAGGTCATCACCATTTTATTATCTCAGATCAAGTTTGGCTCACAGCAGGGCTTGAATGAGAGGTCCCCAAGGAACATCTATGATCTTTCAAGAAGCAGCAATTGCTTTTTTCTCTGAGGCTGCATTGAGCCAGTAGGCCTTCATTATAACCATTTGCTTTCTACTACTCTAAATGCTGACTTTTGAATGAGATAGGAAATTTAGGTCATGACCATTTGCAGTTGTTAAAGATTCTAGAAAGAACAGGGTGAGCTAGCTACATTTTAGGCAAGTTAATTAAATTCTGCTAACCTCCTTTCTCCTGCAGCTTAAAGTGCATTGCATTCTTCTTCTTCACTGCTCGTGCTGAAGTGCTGTGTAGCCCTGCTATGCAGGCTGAAACAGCTATGTTTCACATGCAAGGTTTACATCATCCATCTCTGGGATCAGCTGTCCTTCTCAGGACGTGTTGAGATTTAATACACTGGTGTGTATACAGATGTCTGAATTCCCTGATGAATTAACAGTGGTATTTTTGTAGGGTTTCTTACAAAACATTTCAAAATGCTTCATAATTCAATGAACAGTGGGCGCGTCTACATGAGATTGACTGTGCAGAAGCTGAATAATTCTGTGCAGTAGCGTGTCACAGGACTGATGGTGCTAATATGCTACTGCACAGTATTATTAGGCTTCTGTGCAATAGTGTCACTTAAAAGACGTTCACTGGTGGCGCTGTGCAGTAACCACTGCACAATAGCACCTCGTGTAGATCCATCCTGTGAAGCTGAGTCAGTGATTGAATGACTTGTTCCAGGTCAAATAGATCAATGGGAGAGCTCGAACTAGCAGACGTCTCTCCCTCCTTCATTCCTGTGCTCTGACCATCAGCCTATGCTGCTTCTTGCACATCCAAGAGAAGGGAAAATTCCCAGCAGTCAGGGTGCATCCAACCATGGCAGCAGAGAGGCCCAGGCACAGCACGGGGGAAATATACCCTGCCCATCTACTCCCACTAGAGGGTGGTGAGGATGCCCCGAGGAGGCTCCTGCAGCACCACTCACAAGACCTGGATTTCAGGCATGGGGCATCTCTGGGGCATCCTGACCACTTCATTTCCACAGTTGTCACACATGGAGCGGGAGTGGTGGCAGGGCTTTTCTCAGCCATGCAAGGTGGCACTAAGCACCGCAGCAGCGTGACTGAACGCACTGGCCCTGTGGTGCAGACAGACTCTCAGTAATGAGGACGCAAGCAAGGCAGCATGGCCACCCTTAATATGAGACTATACATGGCGTTTCCAAAGATTAATGTGGCATATATATATATATATAAAAAAGTAGAAAACCATTCGCTGACTTCTCCTAGGGCTGTAGAGGAACCTGTTTGCCAGACCTCCATACAGATCTCCACTCCTCCGTTCAGCTAGGCATTCAAAATAAAAATCAACGTTGGGGGAAAAAAAAAAGAATTTTTTGCTCAGCTTCATTTTCTTTCTTTCCTTTTTCTGAGAGGCCCACAGCTCACTTCTAACCAGGTCATCATGCTGCCACGGCAACGGTCTGCCATGTCACTCACCAACAGATTATTATCCCCCTTTCTTTCTCTCCGTGTGTGAGAAAGGCAGGGAGTAGAAATCAAATGCCTGTTACCAAAGAGACACAATCCCTGCTGATGCTCACACACTCCTAGGGCCCGGCATGGTGGTCTGAAAAGAATGCAGAGCTTTGTCATACAGATGTGGTATTTGATATCTTGGACATGCCTATCAAGAGCCCAATTCTGCAAACACCTACACATTAGTAACTATTCATGTGCTTTAGTGTTTCTGGGGTCAGGCTGTCAATATGTAACCTCACCAGCGCCTCTCCACTTCCCCGCCCTGAAACCATGAGAAAGAACTCGGGGTTAAATCATTCTGTTGTGCAAATTCCTTTGTTGTAAACAGCCCTGTAGATTATTCCATCTAAGAGGATTTTAGAAATCTAGAGTATTTAAAATTTGACCACGTGCAGAATTGCTAACTTAGGCATTCAAAAATCATTAGCCATGCCCCCAACATTTATGAGCTTATCTTACAAATCATGAGATTAATAAAAAACAAAAACCCAAAAACAAAAACAGATCCTTTTTGTTTTCTGGTTTCTAAGCCTCGAGGTTATGTTTCATTCATGTTTGTAAGCTTTTCTTCTGAAATATTAAAAGTAGAACACTTTTTTTTTTTAAGGTGAGGATTTCTTTATTTCAGTAGCTGGACTTCAAAAATATATATATATCAAGCATTATAAAATTTGTTATAAAACTCACTAGGATTGGCAACATGATGTATAATTTGATCATTTTCTCACCTAATTTAGGTTAAGCAATTCAATTAGACTAGTTGCCTTAATTTTTGGTTTCCAGGTAATTCCAGTTAATGGTGCTACGCTATTTGGGTTGAAAGTGCTGTCAGTGAATGTTTAAAAAGCTGTTTCTCTTGAAATAAAAATAGGGTAATAACTTATGCAATAGCTTTTTTTAATACAAAAAAGCAGTGTTTTGTTTAAATTTAACTTAAAATTTTTAAAGAAAAACTGCTCTTGGGACCAGGTCCTCCCAGGTTGAGATAGGACTCTGCTTGCCTCAGCATCCTTCCCCTCCTGACTGGGAGTATATTCAGGGTCTGTAACTTGCTAGCTCTTTGACCTTCCAGCAAACCATATCACAGAGCTCTACAGCTGGTTACAGAGTAACCTGATCATTCAACCAAACTGTGCCCTTATCTCAACAAAGGGCTTATGGTGGGTCCATGCTGTGGAGGGAAATTTAATAGACAGCTTCATTTATTTGGGGAAGACTTAAACTAAGAGTTTCCAAAGAAGGGAATAAAGCTGGCATATGGTCAGACATGGCATAAGAAAGAGGCTTAGATTTCCTAAGTATCAGTAAAGCAGGTCTGGTTGCTTTGAGCCAGGCCTACACTTGCGTCTCTAAATAATTTTTAGTCATGGTTAGTTGACTGAGCTTCTGAAAATTTTCATGAGGCAGGCAAGCCCTGGAAGAGCCTGCCTCAAAAAGATGCATGCTGAAAATTGCACCGTGTTTCAGGACTGTATAAAGACTGATCAGGATTTGCATGTGTTGTAGTAAGAGAACGTAAGTGCAGTTAGAGGGAAAATGTGGATGACAATCATTGCAGGGGGTTCAAATTGCTCTGATTTCCTAACAACCATACAAAGAGAGGTTTCCTAACATACAGTGGAGCCAAAGCAGGTATATGTCACAGTTATCATCAGGTAGGCATTAAAAGTGTTAGGATGCCAGTAGTAAATTACAAAATTACCTACCTGCCATTAGTTAACTGGCCAAAGGAAACCAATTCTACTTTACAAAGAATTATAACTGATTAGTGGAACAATCTTAAATTAGATTGGATTATTGTGAACCACATGTTGTAACCAGTGAGGTACTCACAAGGAAAGCATTCAATACAAGCAAGGGTTTAGTGAAAGGGGACCCAGCAAAGCTGAAAGGATGGTTCCTAAATTCTGAAGGTTTGCCCTGTCTATCGTGCTTTGTGGAAACCTGTTGAAAGACAGTTAATAGAGTTACAATAGCAGGAAATAATTTCACCTGAAGACCTCAGTGAGTGAGCTTTGATTTGCAGCTTCATGGAGAACATAAATAGAGCTGACACAGGCAGAAAATTTCAGTCTCATTCTCCTTACAGAGGACATTTTCCTCTTCAAAACATCAATGTATTAATTCAAATGGAAAGTAATCCCATTTACAAGATACAATAATTGGGAAACAGAATAAACAGGAAAAAAAGAAAAAAGAGCAAAACCAGCCCCACCCCTCCCCAAACCTACCTCTTCCTTCCTCCCAAACTTTGTTTTTCATTTTTGCAAATGAATTCAGTATGCACAAAAGGGAGAGACAGATACAAGTTGCTTCTGAAGCCATCACTTTAAGTTCACCGTAGTCCACCTAGATAGATGGTTCCTTGCTCATTGATTTCACCCCAGAGACAAATCAGAGGGGGCATGTAGCACTGGCCTCACCTTCTCAGCCAGCAGCTCTCGGATCTTACTAGCTTGCAGGCGGAATTTGAAGAGCTGGGTCTCCAATGCAAGGCACCGTTTCTGCCAGTCCATGCAGCTGCCATTCGTCTCCATAAGCTCTGCCATGGTGAAACCCTTTGTCCCCTTGAGCAGGTTTTCCAAGATGCTGTAGAGGACACTGAGAAGAAAATAAAGACCCAAATGTTAGATTTGGTCCAAGGCAGAATTCTTTAACCTGGTATCCACTCAAAAAAGTCTAAGCAAGATGCCTCCTCTCAGAGTTCCTAAATCCAGCCTGCTGTACGGGTAACAGAACGGTACCCATTTCTTCCATGTTTTTATGGTGTCTCCCATTCAAGCCATCCTACCTGTAATCTAGGAAGTCCAGCACAATTGTTAGGACTGGTTGCCAACAAGGGGCTCTATTATTGTCAGACAACTTAATGTCAAGTTTGTTAATATGTTAGCAAGAAACACCAGAATCGAACATACCACAACATTTAAACATATGGAAGTGAGGAGTTTATGGATGATAGATAAATATTCAAATGAACTTTGAGCTCTACATTCTCTGTGTAAATAATTTGCTAGTAAATCACATTGTACATTCATTGGACAACGGTAACTCCATCCCCACATCCCTGTTTAGCTTTAGACTCCCGACTACAGTAGAAACATTCTTCTGCCCAGCCATTCTGTATCCTGTACAGCCAATATGGCTAATCTCAACTGCTTGCTATGGTTAGTAGACAACAACATATTATATTTTATTTTTACCTACAGTCCAGAAAGTTTTCACCCACCCTTTATTCCACCATGAGTCAGAATTCCCAATCTACTCATCTTTTATTGACTGGAAATGTTAGTATGTCATGCCTATCCCCCATCTTATCATGAATCAGAAATTCCACTCTTCAGCTGCAACCCATATACACCCTTCATCCAAACCACTCTACACATACAGAAGCAGACCACTATAGCATATATGCTGGCTGGAACTGGTGCCGGAGGACAGCCACACTCTTCCAGTAGGACTTCTGGGAGGAATTGTTCTTCAGGAGATAGCTTTAGTTCAGGCCCATATCTAAGAACCTACTGCTACTGGGCAAAGTTCTTTCAACAAATTTGAATAAATACATTAAATCCAAAGAAATAAAAAGTTAAATAAGCAAGCTGTCTGATTTCTATCATGTTAGGAGCTTCCAAGTCCTAGCAATAGACAGGCCCAGCATTTCTTGGCATCACTTTAAACCCTTAGAACAACCCTCTCAAAGCTCTGTGGAGTCTACGCAGTAGAGGAAATCTCTTCCAGTGCAGCAGCACAGACCACCAGGCCATATTTAAACCCTAACCCTGTGCAGCAGGGTTCTCCAGGAAGCTTGCTGATGTGTACCTAAGCATGAAAACCTGCTGCTATGTGAGGGAAGCAGAGACAGGGGGGAAATAGATTTGTCCCTTGGCTAATATTTAAAATTCACATAGTCAGAAAGTTCCTTTCATCAAGAGTACATAAGCTAATTGAAATGGGCAGCACACAGTGGGTAAGTGTCCTCCTACATGGTCCATCAGCTTTTGTAAGGAGGTATTCACATGTTGCAGAGAATAGGGGAGAGAATGCCTCATTCATTTGGCTTCTGGAAGAACTGGCACAATTACCTGGACTGGAGTATGTTTTCATACTATCATGTCCCCATTTTCTCTCCCCAGGATCATATGCTTAATGCAGAGTCTGAGAAATTAGGGATGAGTAAGATCTGTTGGAAGACCTGGGCAAAAAACACTCTACAAAAGTAGTGCTCAACATTATGGCCCCGCAGGCTGGATGAGTGGGGTGGGGCCAGTCGCGGGCCAGATCCCCTGTGTGGGGTCAGTCTGCACGCTTGATCAGGGTTGGCGTGTCAGTCGATCCATGAGTGGCACCAGGCATGCTGGTTTGGCTTTTACATTGAAGCCAATTGGATGTGTCAGCCTGACATCACATGCAGCTCAACCACTTGTTGGATCCAGCCACATGCTGACCTCACACTACAATCTCCCTATGCCGGCGTGATCTAGAGTGCAGGGCCACATCATCCAGCTCTCTGGGGTCCCCACAAGTCTGGAAATTTGCCAGCAGGGGAGCTGCAGTTAATGCTGTCATCACTCCCTTACAGCCAGACCTGGTAGGATACAAAGAGCCTAGACACACAACACATTAGCAAAAAAGAAGCAGATGAACAACATATTACCTACCTACTAGAATCTAGTATAACTTTACTTGGAGAAAAATCAGGAGTAAAACTACATTAGCATAAGTTACGTTAATATAGGTATTGTGTGTCTGCTTAGGTAGCCATTTGCTCAGTGAAAACAAGCTATTAGTGGTCCCCTGTCACCAAATACCATATTTACTCTATTCTAAAATTAGGTCCCTCCCTATGTAACATGAAGAAAAAAGCTCCTCATCTTAGAATTGAGTACAAAAGTGTTGGGGAGGAGAGAGGGGGAAGAGGTGGCTGCTGTGGCCCAGACTCCAGCCCCTACCTGGGGTTGGGGCCACAGCTGCAGCAGCTGCCCGCTCCCTGCTCCATCTCCCTCCACCACCATAACACAACCTCTGCTCCCCCTGCCTGCCCCTCTCCCTCCCCTCCCCTGGCCCTCGTTCCATCCTGGCAGGCTCCGTCCATGCTGTCTGGGGCACTGAGCATGGCCCCAGCCTGGCCCTGCAGCTAGCACAGCTGCTATGGGGCCCAGCTGGGGGCTGTGTTCAGTGCCCCAGGCTAGGATGAGGACAGAGCCTGCCAGCACAGAGCAAAGATAAGATGGAGGAGCAGAGGCTGAGGAGAAGTGGGAGACCAGGGGTAGGTGGGGAGCAGAGGCTGAAGGAGGAGGGGGAAAGTAGGAAGACAGAGGGCAAATGGGATCCCAAGGCTTCAGGCAAGGGCAGGCAGGGGGCAAGCTGCTTGACTCCTCACACCTCCTACAGCCCACTGCCTGCCCTCCTGCAGCAGTGGAGGGAATGAATTAAAGATACCTTGCAATAATTAGATTCTAGACATAACAATTATAATATTTATAATTTTTCCATGTATAGAATCTAATTATTAGGGGGGTTGTCTTAGATTCAGAGTTATCTTAGATTTGAGTAAGTTTGGTAGTGAAGTATTATAATAGTACTGAGTACAGCAACTACACTAGGGGAGGGCTGGTTGCCTGCCTACTCTGAACTCTTTTAGAAATTACATCAGTGCACAAAACTGATGTAAACTACACTGGCATAAACATGTCACACTTGCAGTGTGTGCCAAATTGGCATTGGTGCCACCCATGTAGAACCTGCCCCATACATTCTGTAGACTGATGCTGTTCATATCGCACAGAGGTGTGAATGTGGCACCTTTCAATCAGAATGAAGTGTTTCCCTGTGTATGTGTATGGGAGCCCATGCGGATACACACAAAGCAGTGGTGGTTTGGATGATTACCATGGAATAGTCTAGGGCAGTGGTCTCCAAAGTGGGATGCACACACCCCAGGGGATGCGCAAGACGATCCATTGGGGTGCGGGAAGAAAATATTAGAACTTCTATTTCTGTTTATATAAATATACATATATTGGGGGTACGTGCTCAAAATTTTTTACTGATAGGGGTGCGCGATCAAAAAAGTTTGGAGACCACTGCCCTAGGGTGATGCCAGCAGGGGTGAGTTATAGAACAATCCTGCTACAATCCCCAGCAGGCTTTCACTTTAATTTTCATTGGAGTTTAAACATTTGAAAGTTTGGCCCCCAGTTTCCCCAGGTAGCAGATTTCAGGAGCACATTTCAGGGAGCACCTGGTGCTTTATTTTAGGACTGCAACTATGAAGCAATTACACAGACAATCCTGCTATTGTAATTACACAGAGATTCGTCTGTCTAGTTTGGGAACAAAGTAGAACTGAAAGACAAAACACACCATCCTATCTGAGGACTTGTTCACATCTTGAAAGATAATAGACTTGTATAAAGGTTATAACTGTGGTTCCCAAGCCCACATCTGACCTGTTTTCCCCCACCCCCCAATTTGTAACAGTTTGCAAAGTTCAGATAATCATTAACATTCATTTTCAGATTAGAGATATAAAGGGACTTCCATATCAAGTACATTGTAATCTGGTACCCACAGGCAACTTTACAATAGCCAGCCAGAGCGGGCAGTCTGGCATCCAGCAGTAACCCTAGAATAGCAGACTTATGGACGGCAAAACTGTTCCATCCCTTCCCTTCCTCCGTTGCTGAAATCAGCAGTGAGGGGAATGGAGGGGAAGGGTAAACAGCAGCACTGTCCACTTCCTGGGCTCCTGAGCCAACAAAAGTAAGAGCTCTAGCCAGACCTCATCCTGGCCAGCTGGTGAGCTCAGTGCTCATATGGAGCTCTGGCAGGAGCCTGCACTGACCAGGCAGTGAGCTCAGAGCTCACTGCACACGTAGCAAACAGCCAAGGGGGGCGGGGGGAGGAAGCTTCCTTGCCTCATTCCTGATCCACTACTGCTTGCCCATGTTTTCAGTGATCTATGAATTACAGTTGCATTTCAGAATACACATTCAGGTATTGTAAGGGAATGGCAGGACTCAGGCCCTGTAATGGAAAATTCCCTGTGACAGACTCATACCTATTGACAGAACAACAGTCTATAGGCACCAGATCTAAAATTGCACAGAAATACAGAACCTGACCTTGACACCTATTCTACACACGAGACACATAGGTCTAATCTTTGTCCCACAACATACAGTTACAAAATGTTTGACATAGGTCCCACACTACTGCAGTGTATTCAGCAGGTACTGGAGACATAGATAGCATTTACTCTTAAGCCAGTGAAAATGCAAAAGTCACAAACTGTCCCACGACACTGTTTAACCTAGATGCCTCATCAATAAAATTATGGCTAACTCTGTTTTGATGCTGTTGTTTGGGCAGAGAGCGCAAGTAAAATTATTCTCTCACCATATACTGGTGCTAAACAGATTCTAGTCTCAAATAATTATTCATACATTCAGGCCAAAAGGACTGTGATTATCTAATCTTCTGCACATCTTGAGCTACAGAATTTCACTTAGTACGTTTTGTCTGTAGCTCACGGCCTCTACTGATAATGTTCTTTAGAAATACACCAGTTTTGATTTAAGAGTAGCAGACTGGAAGGACCCTCTAAGGTCAACAAATCCAATACCCTGTCACATGCAACTGTGTTGTTTAACTTCTTTCATAAGCTGATCAAGCTCCATTTCAAAACTAGTCAGGTTTTTGGCTTCCATTTCTTTGCGACTTGGAGGCTGCTTTAGAAACTCACTGCTTGAATTGAGAAACCGCCTTCTAATTTCTAGCCTGCTCATGGCCAGTTTATACTTGTTCTTGTGCCAATATTGTCCTTTTGCCTAAATAGCTATTCTTCTCCCTGTTGTTTTATTTTCAGTTATATTTATAGACAGCAATCACTACCCCTGGTAGCCTTCATTTTGCAAAGTTAAATAAACTAAGTTGTTTTAGTCTCCTCTTATAAAACAGACTCTTCATTCTCCTTGTTGTTCTTCACTGCACTTGTTTCATTTTGAATTCATCTTTATTGGATATGCATGATGATAAATGTACACAGTGTTTCAGATAAAGTGTGAATAAAGCCTTGTAAAATGACATGACTACTTCCCTATCTGTCCTAGAAATACCTCACTTGATACATTTAAGGCTCTCATTTGCCTTCCTCACAGCCACCTCACATTGCTAGCTCATAGTCAGTCCGTGATCGACAAGTACACCCAGCTCTTCCTCTTCAGTTATTTGCAACTGATTTTCCTAGATTGTAGCACAAGTTATTGTAATTAATCCCTTAGTATATGACTGCACACTGTACAATTACAGGCAGAAGGTGGGGCAGGGTAGCACCTCAGAGACTACCTGGTTCAGAGAAGCATGAGCTTTTAAAAGCAGCAACCTACTTTGTCATCTGAAATCGTCTGAGAAAGTAGGTTGTTGCTTACAAAAGCTCATTCCTCTCTACAGTGCCACTTTACCGTACCTTCTGCCTGACTTCATACTAACACAGTTAGCCACTTTTCTACACAGTTAGATTTCATCCACTGAATAACCATTTAAAGTTATCCAGCTCTTCCTGCAAAATCTCCCAGTCTTCCTCTCTATTGATAATGCCTCCATACTTTGTATCACCAGCAAGTCTCAGTAGCACACTCAGGGGCTTTGTGCCAAGGTCATTAATTAAAATATTAAATAAGATTGGTCCCAAGACTGATCTTTGAGGAGGTAACCTCCCTCCTACCCAGCAGTTCCCTTCATCATCTCTCCTTCAGCCAGTTTCTTAACCACCTTACAATTTTACTCCTTATCTCCATCTTTCCAAATTGAACCCTGTGTCACCATGTCAGATACTTTACTAAGTCTATATAGATTAGATCAACTGCATTTCCTTTGTCTAGAAAACCAGTTATCTTATCAAAGAAAGATATAAGGTTAGTCTGTCATGCTCTTCTTTAGCAGGCCTATTTTGCATTTTTCTGTTTTTCCAGTCCATTCACATTTTTAACTATTCTTTCCTTCAAAATTTGTTCTGAAGCCTTGTCTACTATTGAGGTCAGACTAATGGATCTGTAATTTCTCAGATAACTTTTTTCCCCTTCTTAAATATTGGTACCACATTTACTATGCTCTGGTCACATGGTACCACTTCTAACTTGACAAACGTATAAAAATTCCTTGCAGCTAGACTTGTAGACTTGCAATTTTATGAACCAGTTTTTTGAGAATTCTGGGACTGACATTATCCACTTCTGTCGTCCTCTCTCCGCGCCCCCCATACTTCTTACCCTGACTTGAGCACATTTTGCATTTTGCTTTTGCCTTGGATTGAGTCATTCTCACCTAAAATGAGAAAGAATCCCTATAAGACAATTCTTTGGTGGAACTATTCATTTTTCTAACTTGATTTTTTTTCTACCAACCATGAAGTATTTGGAAGCAGGTATTTTCCTGTGGCTCATTTTGGGTTTAGAAATTTGGAAAGAACAATTAACCCTAGTCCTTGTATGAGGGAAAAGAAATAATAGAGAAATTCATTAAAAGTACAACTTTAACAGTAGTCTCAATACAACTTAAATAGGAAGCAACTTCTTTACCCAGCAGAACTAAGAAGTTCCACTTGAAGTCCATGGGAGCTGCTAGATGCTTCTTCAGGTGTTGAACAGGCATTTAGGAAGTCAGATTTAGACATCTAGGTTTGAAAATCTTAGTGGCATCTATAAAGTTTGATTAACAGCAAACATATGCCTGACCCCAAACCTCAGGGTCAAAATATAGGCAATTCAGGTCCAGTTCCAACTTAGAGAAAATTAAGATCTAGATGACAACTTTGTGGCTAATTCCTGTCTTTACAGTGAAACTAGCCAATGTCCCATATCCAGCCATCCCTGGGCTGTTTGAAAATTTAACTGGGATCCAAAGAGCTTGCACATGTCTCCATTAAAGCCTTTTGATAATGCTAAAACAAGTGATTGAACAAGATGATTGTAAGTGCTGTAAGGTACAGATACTCATACATGCAAAGGATTAAGAGAAACTGATCTAATTTACTGTGACTTTTGATTATTAAAAGCAAAAAATAAGAAAAGTGAGACAATAGTTACACATCACTGCTACAGTATCTGATTAAACAGTCAAGTGTTGCTGATGTTAGAATGAGCCAAAAGCACATAGGTACAGTTCCAGGAACTATCGGAACAGCGCCCCAGACTCCCCTCTATACAAGTCCTGTGCAATTCAACTGTTTCTAACTCACGGTCACAGAATTAATAGCTGAGAGGAGGGAAGTTTCTTTCTCGTTCACCTGCTGCTTCTTCAGTCTCTCATTCTCTACCAGAGGAAATAAGAATTGAGCACTAAAAGTCCATACTCACTATACTCTTGTTCCCAATCACCCTATTTTCCCCTTCACAAAATAATTCTGTCCCACAGTTTTTATTTTGTTGGATGTGCTGGAATCATCCAGCTACACACAGATTTATTGGGCTTTTGCCCATATGATTTCCATCTTGAACTCAAGGTGGAGATGCCCTGGGCAGAGAAAAAAGCTACAGGAAAGATGCTGGTCCATGATCCAAAGGACAGGTTGGGCATTAATTGGGAAAAGGCCAAGGGAAAACCATTGCCCTCTTTCCCGGCATGCCTTCTGGATTAACAAGAAAGATGCTGAAAAGGGAAGAAGAGCAATCACAAGTTGGTTGCTTAACTTCTAAGGACTTTCCCCACTCCTGCATACTTCACAGGGAGACAGGAGTCCTCACCACATCTCTTGAACTGTATACTTCTCCCTGCTCTCCAGATATCTGAATAGACCAAATCCTCAGCTATGAAGGTGACCCTTATTACCTTACCTAGCAAACTCCTCTTAACAAAGATCACACAGTCCTCACCTGCACAGCTCTCGGCTTTTCCCATTGCTTTAAAAAAAGGTGAGAACAATAACTAAACCAACTAAGTCTGGGAAGCCACCACCCCTATTTGATGTAGTAAATGAGCTCTGCCTGGTGGCTTGCTTTGCAAGCTGGTATCTGGGCTGCAAGTGAAAGCACCCTCCAATCCCTTCTCTCCCATCCCCACTGTCTTCACCAGACTGCCCCTGAGCCAGAGCCGAGGAGCTCTGAGTCCAAGAAATGACTGAAGGAGTGTTAAAAGGTTTCTGCAGCTGACCTTGTATTGTTCTTGGGGGACCGTGCTCATGAGCAGAGTGGTGCCATTCTCCTGGTGCTCTTCTCCAGCAGGCGATTCAGGGGAGTTACCCTGGGAAAGCTCACAAAGACATGCACAGCTTGTTTCTGTCCCATTCAGCACTTTCCCATTCTCTCTCTCTCTCTCTCTCTCTCTCTGTGTTTTCCTTAAAGCGGGAGAGCTTGGCTCAAATGTCAGAGCCAGCCTTCCAAAGAAGCACAGGAACTGACATCATCAGCTCCATGCTTTTAACCCTTTATCTATCACTGCGGTGAGGCAGATGTGGTAGAAAGATGCTCGGATTGAATGGCTGAGATGGCAGCGGTTACACCTGCATCTGGATTGCATCCAACTCCTCTTCCCCCTGGCTTCCATGAACGGTTGGCTGCTGTATAGGAAATGATATTGAATATATAGAATATATATAAGGGAAACAGACTAAGTGCTGGAAGTGAATCCCACTAATTAGGATTTATTTAATCAAGTTGTAGATATTTTGTCCACTGACTGCTTGGACAAGGTCTCTTCATTCATCTCCAATTCCATGCAGTTTCATCTGTGTCAAATGCCCTGATTTTAGGCACATCTGTTACAGCCTGGGAAGTCACCCAGAGGTCTGAGCTTCATAGCAAGTGCTGGAGGAAGACAGATTCTCACTCCCTGCATCTGTGTAACTGAGATGTCAATGCCACGTTGATGACAACCTCATAAAGTCCCTGACTGCACAGAGAATCTCCTCTGAATTCATCAGCACAAAGTTGCTTACCCCAAAAAGCATCAGTTCCCAAACTAGCCCCAGAATTGGGAGTACATTATAGCACCCACTGATCCAATCCCTCTGACTTCATGATGAGCTCTGCACTGGACCCCAGACTATTGCTACTGCACTGGGATCCTCCAAACCTCCATGCAGCACTGCAGGTTGCTGCACCCACAGGTGCCAGTGTGGTGGGTAGTTGCACCACACTGGGGTTCATTGGCAGAATTGTAGCAAGATTTTAGGCAGCATTTGGATAGAAGTGGCTAGATTCAGGGAAAGAGAACAAGGCAAGGTGGTTTCTGGCTCATAGTTTCATATCTGGTTAACAAGACAGTAGAGGAAACTACTCTTGCCCATGTAGTCAGGCCATCAATAAAGCCCAATGGCACAAACAGATATAAAGTTGGGAGCTCATGACTTCCAGATTTTTAGGGGTGTCTGTGTTAGCATGGTAGATGTTTTACCTGGGGAGATGGATTTTAGCTGCCACTCCTACATGCATGCTGCATATAACTAAACACATACTTGTTAAATACTAAGGGAAACTGCAGTATTTAAGCAAAACTAGAAGTCTAACTGTCAAGGGAAGGAAGAGCCAGTGGCTTATTCTGTGTGTACATGCATGTGTATTAGGAACTCACTTGCCCCCCCCCACATGTCCAGGCAAAGGTGCAATTGGACCTAATTCATGATCCTCACAACTGTGCCTCCTGCCATACCACATGTGCATGGCAAGAGACGCGATTATGGGATCGTGCATTAGATCCAATCACACCTTACTGTTGGTGTAAGGGGAGCCCCTGCATCAGCAAGAGGCAGGCTCCTATGGCTGGGGGCCCCCTTTACTGAGGGAGCTCCCAGCCACAGGGGCCACATGCAGCCATACCTAGAGTCCTGCACCTGACGGGACTCTCAGTCTCAGCTGCACCACAGGCAGCCAGGGCCAAGAATCTTGCACCTGATGGGGCTCTCGGTTCCAACTGTACATGTGGACCCTGGGGGTTTTACACCACGGGGATCCCCCAGGGCATGGCAGTTTCATGCTGGGTGCAGTGCACCTGTGCAGCTGGGAGCCCTGTCAATTAATGGGGATCCCAGCTGCGGGGAAACCCTGTTACACCTGCAAATTAAAGCTCAATAGCAACCAGTGATACAGTTAAAACATGTTTTTTAGATCTAATTTTATAGCTGGTTGGATCGTTTTATAGTGTGATAACTACTTTGCACGGGTAGAGGGTCTTAAGGTAATTGGGCAATTAACCAGTTAACTGTGCAATACTTGCAACATGTAGAGGGAGCTTCTGTGTTGTATGCTGTTGCCCTATGCTGCAGGGATTATATGGTCCTGCTTCCTTAGGTGCTGATAGTGGCTGAGTTTGCAGAGCGCTTCCTTTAGCTCTTAGGATGATCTGATGTTTATGGGAGAGAGATGGGCCTAAACCAAACCAAAACTAAACAGCCTCTGGCTTTGTGGTTAAGGCCCATCTCTGCTAGCAAGAAAAGGCTGTGAATGCAACACTCTTGCAGCTGCCCATTCCATCAGTAAGTAGTTATACCTGCGCAATAATTTTCCCACATCTATCTCTTCAGTAGACATGCCCAGGCTTCAGCCAACCATGGTTTTCACATCAGGGAGTACACTATTTTGGGGGTCTCCAAGCAGGTGTGGTTTGGTACAAAGCAGGTATGGTTTGCTGGGTGGGCTACAAAGAGTTAATAGTTACGTGGGATTGTAATGACAGTTCCTGAAGAGCTCTGAAACCTATGCTTACACTGTTGGTGAGATCATCCGCCCACAACAAGAGGCAAAATACTAGGATGGCATGAAATGAAAAGGGGTTAGACAATGGAAACTGATCTGGGGAAGAACGGAGATGAAGAAAGGAGTCAAATTAAATCTGATTACTCTAAACAACATCAGACATTAAAAATACTTCAGCAGCACCCAGTTGGCTCAATGGTTGCAGAGCCCTACTAAAAGGTTGAGCCTGCAAGGAAGCTGGTATTAAAATGCAACTAAAAATATTAGGGCAAGATCTTAAAATTTAAGTGACTGAACTTGGACTCCTAAATCCATAGTTTGGGATTTTAAGAGATGCTAAGCACCCTTTTGCTCCCATGTGGCTCCTTTAGCATTAGCTTTCCCACCTGTCCTGGATATCGTGGGACACTTTTTGTGGCACCTAGAGTATGACAAAGGGAATGACATTTATATGCTCGGGTTTTGTGCTGCCTTAACATTTTTTAAGGCAGCACAAGGGTGACGTCTGCAGCCTGAGTGTTTTGGCTGGCTGAATCAGGCTGCATGTTCCTCTGTACCTGAAAGGCAGACAGTGCACTAGACAAGAAAGGGGGTGGGGAGGGGGAAGGAGCTGTGCTGAGAGCAGGGCAGGACTGGGTTCGAAACCAGGCAGAGATAGGCAGAACACTGGAACGATTCTGTCAGATGGCAATGGTAGAGGTGGGCAACAAGCTGCTTCCAAATAGCCAGAAATCTGAGCAGTGGAGATCAAGAGTATGGGCCAAGATGGATCTGGTAATAAAGACATCATGACTTTCCAGCCAAAAAGATTTTCCCAGTGATTTCCAGATCTGCTGTCAACAGAACCCGGAAGAAGGGGACCCCAGTTGCTTGCCAGTTGTTTTCATGTTAATCATTATTCCTGGTAGTTAAGAAATTATAGTAAATAAGCAGTACCCTTGTGCCTTTAGGCAGCCTCAAGGGCCTTCTGCAAGGCAGAATGGATTGTCTGTTTTGCTGCAGAGCATTTTTGAGGTGACCCCAAACCAGGCTCACAAATCAAGGATTATCTAGGAGGATAGAAAGGATCTATTTCCTGAGGGTTCCCCATCCTCTTTCTCACTTTTAGTCAAAGCATGCAGCAACCAGTGTACTTTAATCCAAATGTTCATATACATAGGCTTCAGAGAATCGAGAGCCTACTGTAATTTTACTCTCTCTTTAAAGTTCCAAATTCTCCCTTATTTGTACCAGTGAAGCCAATAGGATTATGCCAGTGCAAATGAAATGAGAAATTGGCCCATTTTTTTCCTAGGCAATGAAGCTTGACAGCTAGGACATTCCTCAGGCACTGAACTTTATACGAAGCAACTCCCCTATGCACTGCCTGCACACACCTAGCTTTGGTACCTTTAACCCCCGGGTGCCTGAACCTCCAGAACTCATCCCACAGATTCCAGGTGAGGTAGGAAATAATAATGAAAAGGAAGAAGAAGAAGAATGACAATGACTTTTTTCAGCATAGAGAAGAGTTCAAAATGCACAATGGTTTACAATTCACAAGTGGCTTGCTTTAGCAGTTCTTTTTGAGACATAGTTTCATAGTTTCATAGTTTCATAGATTTAGGGTCGGAAGGGACCTAGTAGATCTTCTAGCCCGACCCCCCGCCAGGGCGAGAGAACAACAAAACCCCAAAACAAGAAACGGGACTCAAATGAGTCCAGCCAGGTAGGCATCCAGCCTCTTCTTAAAGACCCCCAGGGTAGGGGCCAGCACCACTTCCCTTGGAAGTTGGTTCCAGCTCCTAGCCGCCCTAACTGTGAAGTAGTTCTTGCAGATGTCCAATCTAT